TATTAACCGTTGTAACACATGAGCCAATTAGTGTATTTTATCTTTGACAAAGATGAAACCCTTTTTCATTTTTGTCAAGAACGAAATCTCCTGATTGAATTATGTGTCTTTAGAAATAACAAACATCTTTTTAAATTTTTAAAATTATATTTTATGAATGAAACTATTAACATGTGTTACATTGTGAAAATTTTGTCTCTTAGTTCGATAAAATTATTAATTTAAAAAAATAGTTTTATCTGACATATAGACAAAACACGTGGTAATATGATAAAAAAATCTCTTAAATTTTTTTTATTTTTACACATAATGATAATTTATGTTTTAAAATGCATTAAAAAATAAATAAATAAGCCATCAACTAGAGGTCACACAAAAAGAGAAGGGACATCGAGAATTGGTACTCAGCATAGATCTTTCTACATTTCTCTTTAGCAAGGAACTCACTCCATTACCCCATTTTGCTTCTCAAAGGACATTAATTCTAAGGGGAAGCATGTGCACCACAAAACATGGAACCTTATCCGATTCTCTTTATCAGCGTCAACTTCTATACAATCGAGCTATCCCTGCACAATATTAAAGACATGAAATCTAAGTACAGTTTTTTAAATATTTTTTTGTTATTTTTAAATATATAATATATAATAACATCAAATATAAATTTTAATTAAAAATAACATAAAAATACATTAAAAAAAAAATACAAGTTTTACCTTGTCAAATTAAAGCCTCTTTCTGCAGCTGAAGATAGAAGTCGGATAAGGCTAGATATTTAGGAAGTAAGTTATTCATAAAGGCAACAAATCGCCTCTTTTTTTTTTTAATAGCAAAATGGGGTAATTTCCCTTCAATTGATTCTATTATTTGATTCCCATGAGTAAGATTGTACGAATTAGTAGAATGAATTGTTACTAATATAACAAATGTATAGCGGGAGTTTTTTTTTCTGTTGATAAGTAAGTGATATATTTAATGTAATTGTTCATTGGGATTAGTTATTTGCCCTGATCTTTATTATTTTATTTGTAAAGTAAAACATTCTATATAATCCTAGAAAGTCTAGAATAGCTTGAGGAATGAACATGTGACAAATCCCTGCTTGTGATTTGTCTGAACTTGATCACGGTCGATCGAATTACCATGCTGCAAAAGTGCAAAGGGAATAATGCAAGCACGTTATCTGTTTGTGTTTAAGCAACCACATGTCCCACTGCCTACTCACCTTATCCTTTTCTGGTTCTTTAACTTGCTTTGTATCGCGCCATTTCGGCTTTTGCTACTCCAATTAGTGCAGCCTTCTAAAATGCTAAAAACTGAAAAGCAGAGACAAACACGCTCTTTCCTCACGGTAAAGACAGTGACGCTCTCTTTGTTTAGCTAAAAAATATTAGCCTGCCCTGAAAAGGGATTGGAAAAATTATGGTCTCTCTGATTTCTGAAAACGTTTTTTTTTTTTTTTTTAAATTATAAATTTGACATCTTATTTTTTATTTTTAAGATCTGTACAGAAAATATTTAAAGGAAAATTTATTTTTAATGTTTTTATATAAATATTTAAATAAAAAATAAGAATACAAATATCTGAAACAAAATAACTCATTAACTTCCTTAGTTTAGATTGAAAGTAAAAAAAAATTGCAGTTTCCACCTTAATATTTTTTTTTTCTCATAAGGCGGAAAAAATCTCTCATGAATTGAAACCAAGCTCTGCTGTTTTCATTTTAACCCTTGCTATTGTTTTGTTCGTACAATAATTTAAAATATATTATAATATAAAAAACATATTTTATATAAAAATAATAAAATAAATATTTTAAAGCAAATAGTAATAAATATTTATACTATAATTTTAGAGAAATAAATAGTAATTAAATAAAAGCAACTCGTTAGATATAAAGATAAAAATGTCTTTGTATAAAATTTATTTGTTTCTGCTTATCTTCTTATTCACTCATTTAAATAAATAAAAAAGTATTTCTTATCTTTCACTTTTATTTATCTAAATAATATATTATTTTATTTAATTTAAATTTTATTTTTTACTCTCTTATTTGTTTTCTTTTTTCTTTTTACCGTATTTCATCTCACCATCTAATCAAGGCACAAGAAAAGAATAAAATTTATATACTATTATGTATTATTTTAAGAAAATATATCTACTAAAATATTTTTTTAATAAATAACCATGGGCGTGTGTATAAGTTAGTTTAGTCTTAAATATGTTTTTAACTTTAATATGTACGACTAAATATAATTTTAATTTTTTTAAAAATGTTTTAACTATTATTATTATTTTAAAATATAATTTGTTAAAAACATGATATTTTTAAAATTTAAATATTATAAAAAAATTAAAATTAACATTGAATTTAAAAAATTTCAAAATAATAAAAATCATATGCATAATAAAGAATATATTTTTTTAAATGTTCACTTTAAACCTTATTTAGGTTTAAGTGAATCATTCTTAACTAACTTTATTTCATAGTTCATATTATGGTTACTTATTAGATTCCGAGTAACAAATGTCATTTCCTAGCTTCCACTAAAATTATTCAAAACATTAAACCTAGAGCTTGAAGTAAGTTCCCTATATTTTTCTACTATGACTTAGTGTTCCTATTAAACAAAGTTGTCCTAACTTCTTTCTTATAAACCTTTTGATCAACATCTAAGATCTAAACTTACCCTACTCCTCCATTGAAATTCTCTTATGATTTCCCTAAGCTTCTTTCCTAAAAAGGTTAATATGTGAAGCATGTATACTTTCTTTACCCTAATTGGGAATATTAGGACTAGGCAAAGTATGTCTAATATTTGGAGTAGGTTTAGTAGTTTTAGAACAAGATTCTTTTTTATAACCATACTTTCTATAAAGTAATTAGTTTTTTTTTTCCTTAAATACAGTTCAACACAAATTTTAACAAATTTATCTCTAGATAAAAGAGAAATGTGAGAATTAATTTTTAACATTAATCACATGCAATACATACTTGTTATAAGAATTTTTTATTGTACAATTTTAAAGAGAGATCAAGTAGACACACCCAAAATACTATTTTCCTAAGATTTTAGTCTTTTGACCTAAAAAGAGGCCTTCATCTTTATATAAGAAAATAGTGATCAATAATTAACTAAATTCTTTCAAACAAAGCATATTTATAATCTTCTATATTATCAAATTTCATCAACAAAAAGTCATTATTAAAATCTAAATTTTTTAAGAAATTATTTACCTCCAAGATATTTCTTAATTTATGAGTTAGATAGTTAAAATCAATCAAGTTACCTAAAAGTTTAACTATCAATGAAAACTTAAAGGTATTTTAGTTATAGACAAAGGTTTTAACTATGATTATTGCTTATCCTAGATTCTTCAGTTTCAAGAGGAATATTAAACTCCTCTACAACCAAACTTTTGATATCATTGTCTCTCAAAACTAAATCTAAGTTTTTTAATCTAAAATCGTATCTTTATAAGGTACAAACGCAGGAGAGTTATGTTCAGAAAGCACCTAATTAGCTTGCCAATCTGCAGGAATATCTTCTTGTATGAACGATTTGAAGAACTCCATAGTTGATGTTGAAGCCAACTTTGCCTTCTGTGTGTTTCGATTTATTAGTTCTACCTCTTCCATTAAACGTTTCTATTTTTCATTTTGCTTCATACATTACTGCTCTTCACCAATTGTTAGTATTTCTAAGATAGAAACCTTTTTAGATCCTTCGAGAGGCTGCCAGCGACGTGGCAACATCAAGAAACCAAGGAACCTAGGGCAAAAGGAAACCTAGCACAGCGGCAAAAGTTTGATTTTAATTTCTTTAGCATCGTTTGTCGCTTATTTTACAAGTATGGATTAATTTAAAAAAATTTATTTATATTTAAATAACAAAAGTTTATTACAAAATAATAGAGAGATGCATGTGTTTCATTCCGTAGTATATTTTAATTCTAAAATATGAAATTGAAAAACGAATTAAGAATTAATTTTTTTAATGAATTATTTCATAATCATATAAAATTGTTATTATGATTTTAAAATATATTAGTCGTAACCTAATTTTTTAGAATTTCCTTGTTCATGCGAAGACTTTTTTCTTTCTTTCATAATTATACAAAAAATACTAATTAAATTCTTTCTCCCGATATTTTGGTTTGTTTATTGGTGTACAAATTGAAAAGTTTTTACTGGTAGAAGAAAACCTTTTCTTTTAAATTAAATTATTTTTTGACCTTACATTTATTTAAAATTGTAATATTGCCTTATATTTTTTATTAATATATTTTTTACACCTCTTTCTTGTTTCAATATTAGTTTTAATTATTGTCAAAACTTGGTAATATTAACAAAAATTGCAACAACTTTTTACGATAAAAGATGACCATGATCGATAAAAGGCCAAATAAAAAAAAACTAAATCAAAACTTTTAATTTTATTTTCATTTCAATTTAACTTTTTTAATATTTTATATTTTAATTTAGTTTCTTTTGTCATTTGTACATATTTTTATACCTTTTCAAATTTTATACTTTTTCTAAAACTTGACAAAAGAGATCAAATTAAAACTTTAAAACGATAAAAAAAAAATACAATTAACAAAGTGACAAAAGGTTGAATTAAAATAAAAAATTAGAGTGACAATTTTTAATGTAACCCTTTATCAGCAAATCCTGGAATTAATTAATTTTTTTTAAAATAGCTGTTATGTGCTAACTGAATAAATATAAAATATGAAAGTATTTTTTTATATATCATTTTATTTTAGAGTGTTAAACGATTGTGCAAAGAGAAAAATAAGTGTAATAATTAATGTAATAAAAATATAAGAATTGTATAATGTACCGACTGTGCCAACGTGGAAGTTTTGAAATTAGGGAACATAAACCATTTGAGCGCGCGCAAACGCGGATAGCTATGCAGTAACCATCAAAGCTTGGGTTTCTTCCATAACTCAGAAAGCATCTTTTCACCGAGCTTCGAACGGTCGAACGGTTTGCAATGTCTGCAACCAAAGCCGGATCAAGGAAGCGGCTATCCGAATCCGAACGTTCCAAATCCGATAAGAATAACCGTTCAGCCACAGATAATTTCGATCTCGATGTGGATTTCGATCTCTCCGAGTTCGTCTTCAGCGCTTTTGCTTTTTTAATTTTGGTTGGAATTATGATAAAAATTTCTCTTATAATGAAAATTTGCAGTGACATCAAAGGAATCGTGTCGGCGCTGCACCTGATCAGAGATAAGGCTCAGAAGGATGGTCAAAAGAAGAACGACGAGACTATTTCCAGGTACTGCTTTTGCACTTCGCATTTCGATCGTACCTGAATCTTTCATTTTAAATTGGTTTGAATTTTGAAGATTGCACCTGGAATGATTCGAATGTGTAAAACGCTTCTAGCGGTTTTGTTTCTGATTTTGAATCGATGCACATAGCTTACTTCTGTTTCCATTTTCGATCTTCTTTGAAATCCAAACCTGTTTTCCTACGCTTATTTTGTGACTTGTGAACCAGAAACCCGATTCTTATTGTGGACTTGTATTTCTGTTATCAATATTAACACCATAAAATTGAACTTAAACCAGAGTATTTTCTTCTATATATGGAACTGTAAAATTTGATGTAGTCACTATTTTTGTTTTCTTATTTGTTGATTGTTTAATTAACGTTTTTTGGTGATTGGCGCAAAACCGGTGTGATTGGTGTTTTTTGTTTGCGATAGTGTGGCCTCTGAGATTAAATCAATGATCGAGGGATTGAGGTCCAAAATTGAGAAGGACAGGTACGTTTGAAGTCAGAACTGCATGTCTGTTTAGGCTTCTCTGTCTTTTTTATTTCACTGTATAAAAGAGTATATTGTTCTTCCAATTTCAGGCAAAGCTTTGCTAAGGCGCTTTCAAAGAGTTCCAAAGAGGTTTGTAGACGATTATGGTTTATGTATGATATTGATAACTGAGTCATGAGTGGGAAGGGGAAATGCGTGTTTTCCAACACCGGTTTAATCATTGTTGCAATTACAAGCATGCAGTACGAAAGTTCCTTGAAGAACGAAACTGCTAAGTTTCAAGCACTCCATGAGAATTTTTCCAAAGAGAAAGCTACTTCTCTGCAGGCCCTGAAAGGTACTTCCTGCAACATTTTCATCGGTGGACTAACTAGGATCATCTGTTATGAGCGTTGAGCTGCTTCTGAAAGAATGAAAATACTGGTGGTGTCGTAATATAATTTTTTGACAGTAGCTGAAATATATAGTAGTGGTAATTTCTATGAAAAGAAGTGCCACTTTTGAAATATATAGTGGTAAATTGGTAATTCATCTGTTTTATGTGATATAATATAATCATACTCCTTGCTGGTTAGATGCTAACTACTTCTACCAATTGATAGATATTATCTCCAAATTTGAAGAGGAAAAGGAAAAGCTATTTGTCAGATATGAACAAATGAGTAAGCTATACAACTTTATCCGTCTTCAAGAATATGTAAAACTGAAATCCGAATTCAATGATTTTATTCTATAAAACTTTATGAATGCTTTAGGGAAGAAGGAAAGAATTATGCTATCTGAACAAGAAAAAGCCTGCAATGATAAAGTTGCCCAACTGGAACAGTCTTTGAAAAGGAAGAAACAGGTATACTAAGCAGTGGGATCTAGATTTTCAGTATCAATCTGTTCGTGTCGTTCTCAGATTCACACGCTCATATGTTCCTTCAGGCACAGCATTTCTTACTCATTATTTTTTGTCACACAGGACGATAAAACTTTCAGCATTCTAAGGAAAACTCTTGGTTCATTCTTGGAAAGTACCTCAGACGAGGATTTCCCACCTGATGATTGAGACTGCAATACAGAGATATTTTGATTCAGTCACAATCATTGTTTCTGTTCATTTCACAGCAAAATGTCATCGTAGATAAACTCGAGATCAACTCTCTTTAAGTAGTTCCACTTGTATTTTAATCTCTTATTACAATCAGCTGTTAAAAATATAATTCCTTCCAACACAAATTCAGTGCAATATCTGCTTATATTAAGATATATTTTCCCCTAACTCTGAAGCGTTCCTGCAGCCGTTTCTACATCTTTTCTCCATAAGTCTGAGCTACACAGCTCTAGTAGAATACTGAGCTGCACAACTCTAGTAGAAGACCCATTTGTCTTTTAACACTTCTTTTTATCTCAGTAGACGAATTAGGTGTGCGCGCGAATGAAATAAGCTAACCTTTATCATTGAATAGTAGACAAACGATTATGATTGGTTTTACAATTTCAATTAACCTCACCAAATCCTCTCAGCAGTCAAAATGCCAACATGTTAAAGAACTAAAACAGCATCTTACAGAGTAAAATATACCTGCAAATGGCTTTTTTGCCACACGCATTGCACTAGTATTCTTTACAGAAAGTCAATGGATAATTACGGTTGTCAACAGCAGCATAAATGCATATTAAAGTTAGAATTCCAGGTTATTCAAATAATGGAAATGGAGCCTACCACTTTCATTTAAACATGACAAATAAACAATAAACACGAACTATGGGATCAGATATAGATTTTTTTTTTCCCGTTGGAAACATGAAAAACGCCGAATTTAGGAAAGAGAATCAATGATGGACATTTCAAATTATTAATGCTATTTTTTAGGTAAAGTTACAACAGCTAAACCTTTTTCTTTTGTGTTTGAAATGAATGCGATAGAAGACATTGGGTATACTAAAAAGGGTATGAAATTCAATGAATTGAGCTTGAGTCCCTTTCACTACCGGCAGGAAACCAGATGAAACATTATCATGGATAAGGTAAATGTCAAATAAAAGATCATCACATTCTTAAAAGATTGAATTGTTTAGTTTTATCCCCATGTCAATATTTATATTACTTTAGGAAGGGTATTCCACCCCCATTTATGTCCACTAAAATTCAACTTTGGATTTCAGTTTAGTTAAAAACAGGAGAAAAATTGTCATGCTAAGGTAACTGAAACCCACCTCTTACACCCAAGACTTACAGTTCAATAAATAATTCCATTTGGATACATATCTCAAAAACAAAGCAATTTTGAGATTCATCCGTGAAACCCGCCTACCAAATTTGTTTGTTATACAAGAATGGTCCATCTAAGAGGCCAATGTACAGACCACTAACAACCAGCCTTGGAAGGAGTTGGTTTCCTTTGTTGCACAGACCATGGAGGCCGCCTGTTGTGTGCCTGCGCAAAAGAGTGAAATTATTTTTCAAATGAAACTCTTAGTTGTTTTAGGCAACAAAATCTGTAGCAATTGTAGGAAGACTTGGGATTGAATCGAAAGAGGCAAGTCTAACTATCTGAGCGAGAATAAATTCCCATCATGCAGCCCATATAAAAACCAATTAAATAATATTCCTTAAAAAGTAAACACTAGGTCCTCTTTGAGTTGGATGTCTTAAAATTTCAAATTAGTTGTTCTGTAATATACTCAGAGTGAATTCCTCTGTATTTGCACAGAAAACACTTTTTTTTGAATTCCACCGTATTCGGGCATCTCGGATTTTGGTGCTGAGTCTGAGTTCATGTGTATTTAACAGTTCCGAACAAATCAACCATCAATACCAATTGAAATAGAATTTGTAAATATGATCCTTCATTAAGTCAACCACAATATGTATAAATACCTCTTTGTATGTTCTACCTTTCATTATGCATGTTTAAAAGCTTAAGGGAACATTTATATAATTTTTTGACTAAGGGGACATCCATTGTGATCAATTGACATATGAACACTTATTCTATGGTAATTTCATGGTAAGTCTAGTAAAACAAACCCCATCTCAAAAACATAGAAGACTATATTTTTCACATGAAGTATTCAATAAATTAAAAAAAAATGTTTGAAGCTACATAAGTTATACTGACTTCAAAATCAGAGACAGACTACTGCATGAATACAGTTAACATACCCCAATTTCTGTCACAAACCGGCATGAGGAACATCTAACTTGTGAAGAACCATATGGGTACATTAGCAATACTGCACAACTACCACACTTAACTTGTCCAACCTGATCAGCTGTAATGAGGGAAAGGGTTATCGGTAGAAATATCTTGGCACACAAAAAGGGTACTGCCACATGTCATATTTTGAACAAGGAAGTCCGGGGAAATTCAAGAAAATAGAATACAGTGACATAAGTAAAAACTTCAAAATGGAAGGATTTAATATCACCACATAATGTATCTGCATTCATGGAGAGATTTACCATGCAGCCATACTGAAATCTCTAGTTGAAAACTTGGTCTATGATATCATCATCAAATCCAAATGTGATTATTCATTGGAATTTTGCTTCCAACCTGTCTATGAAGACCAGAATGTTCTCTTTATTTTTTAAGGAAAATATTCTATATTTTAACAAATACACAAAATTATATTTGGAAGCTTAGAGCAAACAAATCATATCAGTAGTGTTGGAGCAAGTATAAATTTGCTTATGAAAGGGGGTGTTCGAAATAGCTTCCACAAAACTTATTTGGGTTTATCATATAAGCACTTAAGACTAACATTGAAGATGTTTTGTTAAACTTGGGAAAGTGACCAATGATCCTCCTATAAACTCTTTAACTTGTTCCGATAAACTACACATTGAGGCTCATTGAATTAAAAGCTTGAAACATTATCTCACATATGATGACCTCTAGTTGAATGACCACTTAATTAAATCGTTTATCCAAACTCACCCTCAATCAATCAAATGCATAAAACTAAACTTAAACTTGAGGTTCATAGCAGAGACATGCTAATGTGAGACAGAAGCAAAGATAAATGAGTAACCTTCAAATACAATGTTGACCGTTTGACAGCATGAACATTTGACATGTTTGGCACCACGTGGATATGAAAGCAGGCGACGACACGAACCACAAATCATTTGAGCTGAACCTGTTCACACAGCTTGATAATCAGAGTCATCAAGGTAATACCCAATTTCACAAAACGATTATCAAAATTTCAAAAACATAATAAAAATGGACACTTTCAGTGGCATCTCAAAAACAACCCAGAAACACACAACCAATTCCTTTAAGCCTATTGCGGACTTCAAGATGCTAAAATTGCAATATTGCATCCAACAATCACTTGATAGAAAATGAAATAAATATTCCCATAGTCAGATACACTTCGGAAAAAAAAACAGAAAGAAGGCATGGTTGAGAATAATAAAGGCCTTTAATCCACTTAATTGTGCAGAAGCTGGTTACAAACGCATGAATAATTATAAAAAGTTTAGAAATTTGCACAAAATACCCAAGTGGTTATGGTTGAATTTTAACGTTTGAAGAAAAGCAAAGCATTGGAAAGAGTATAAACCGACCGGAAGGTCGTGGTGGTGGCGGAGTGGGGATGGGTTGCCACCCTGGTGGCGGGCCATCATCGTCGTCTTCTTTGTGTAGTTGTTGATTTTGCATCTTGCTCACTGCTTACACTTTAGTCAATCGATTTGGGTTCCGCTAGGGTAAATGGTACTATACTCGAGTAAATCCTCGTAACAGTCGTCAAGATTACTGTATGATAAGTATATCTTATCAGTTTAATTTTGGTATTTATACTGTTAATTATAATATATTATTGGTAAGATTTTTATATTAATTATTATAAAAATAAAAAATTTTATGGTTATGATCATTATGATTAGATGTTAGTGTAATGCATTTAAATTGAATTTATAAGTTATTTTTCAATTTTTAAGACTATTATTATTTTTAATTTTATAAAATGTTATTTATTTTATCTTATTATTATTATTTTACTTCTTAAAATCAAAAAGTTAAAATTTAAGAAATTAAAATATACGATGCATGTGATTTCTTGACTAATTTAAGAGTTTCCTCTTTTCTAACTGCATTTATTGTTACTGTTGCTTCTGATCTAATTAGAGTTTGCACCTAAGAAGAACGAAAAAATTGTTAGTATTACTAATATTATTTTTTTAATGTGGTAGTAGTAGTTAATTTACAGGGGAAGTGAACAATTTTTTTTTGTAAGATAAAATTGATTTTGGTATGAGATTTATAAATGATATTTTAAATAAAATAATATTTTTAAATAGTTTAAGTTTAATACATTGTCAATGTTAAAATTTTACATTTTTTATATTATTTAAAGAATTAATAAACAACAATTTTTGTTATTATAAATTACATTGAGATATATTTAAAATTATAAAAGTAAATACAAGTTTATATATATTTTTAATGATTTTGTTTACTTTTAATATTTTAATTAATACTCTTGACATTTTTTATATTATTATTCTATCAAATATTAAGACAAGTTAATAAAACCCATCAATTAAATACATGCGATAACTACATCTGTAAAATCATGGGAAACACTGTCAGAACTCAGAACTCAATGAGGTAAGGTACATGATCGTACCTCCCGCTCTTCAGTTCTTGGCCAATTTAGCTAGATAGTAATTCTGTAAACAGTGCTCCCTCTTATTAACAACATGTCTGTTTTCTAATTTAGTGAGTTGAATTCTCAAAGGATTCCAACTATATATATATATATATATACACACACACACTTATTTGTTTTAATATTATATATAGAATCATAATTGAAATTAAATAAAATAAATACATTCTTGATTATAATAAAAATATTATCTTGTTATTATGTTAAGCTTTGCAGGTCCAAATTGAGAGTTACTCAACAGGCCGACAAATGTCTTTTAGCTGTCATAATCAAATTGGTTTGGATACATGTCTTAGGTAAACAATCAAAAGCACCAACTTTAAACTTGCCTACCCAGATGCATTTTGGAGGCCACTAGACCATATATTGGTTACCTAATACTTGCCACACCAGCTAGCATATATATATATATTCACACTGTATAATTTTCTTCTGATCAACTCGACAATCAATTCAAGGTAGTATCCTCCATGACAAAGAGCAAGAGAGTCCTCACACTTTTCCTTAGGTTATTGGCCTTTGGAGCAACCATAGCAGCAATAGTAGTAATGGTAACAAGCCATGACTCCGCTGAGGTCTTAAACCTAACCTTCACTGCAAAATATAGCAATGAGCAAGTATTCAAGTGAGATTTTCATCCCCTTTCTCCTTTTATGAGAGCATGTAAAGAAATGCCTAGTCTATTATTATTAATGATAACCATTTTAACTTAATTAAATTCTCATTGGCTTAGTCCCTATATGTTTTATATATTATAGGTACTTTGTGATAGCTGAAGCCATAGCATGTGCATACAGCCTTATTGTTCTCTTCGCAAGTTCCCAAACTTCACTTTGGCGTTTGGTTGTGATCCTAGATGTGGTAAGCTACCATTTGTGTAACTTTTAATTTCTCACTCTCTATTTAACTTAATTTTGAGCCTTTGTAAAATTATTTAATTACTATCACATTTTTATGGGTCAGGTGATAGCCATGCTACTTTCTTCAAGCGTTTCAGCAGCATTGGCAATAGCTCACGTGGGCAAGAAAGGCAACAGTCATGCTGGTTGGTTACCCATTTGTGGACAAGTTCCTAAATTTTGTGACCATGTTACTGGAGCTCTAGTTGCTGCTTTTGCTGCAGCTCTTATCTACTTTTTACTTATTTTTTCTTCTCTTTATTCTGTACACAACCCACTTCTCCTGTAAAACTACCAGAATACCTGAGAGCTTGTAGCATTTTCTTGTCCCTTCACATCACCTGTATTGATTTATTAATTTATAGTTAGATATATCTATGTCAATGCACTCATCATCGCTGTTAAGAGCGTGGATACATACATAATTATCTGGTTCTGTTTTAATTTTAGAACTGGTTTTATCTATTAATCAGCAGTCAACGAATTTGTTTTCGTTTAACAGTAAGAGTCTACGATATTTAATTAAAACTCAATGTTAAACCTTTATTTAACGTGAATAGAGCGGTAAAATTATTTGCCATTTAAGGACTTGTTTGTAACGTATTTCTATAATGTCATCCATTTTCAATTGAAAATCGATTACGCGTTCAGAAACACTAAACATTGAAGACCTGGTCTAATAAAATACCATTCGAAAGTTTATTTTATTAATTTCAATATTTAAAAGTTAAGTTTTAACAATTGAAAATAATATTTTTTATTAAATTATAAAAATATAATATATATATATTATTATTTTAAAAATCTTACTATTTATTAGTACTTAAATTTAACATTAAGAATCAAAGTTAATATTTTAAAAATTTATAACATAAATTATTATTTTAAAAACATTATTAAACAAATATTTAATTAAAGTATATATCTAAATACATTGTAAGTTTGCAATAATACAGTGAGTTTGATCTCTATAATGTTTCTAACGTGTCATTAACCTTCTGCTCTGTAAAATTGAAGAGTAATATTATTATTGCTTTTTCTTGACATTTATTTTTTTCTCATCATCTACTGTACTTTTATTTTTCTCTACGCACAATTCAACCGACACATGCGAAATTAACATTATTCTTTTAAAAAAAGAGTTATACTATTTTTATAATGATAAATTTTCTCTACTATTTTATTACATCTCCTATTTAATTTTTTTTACCACTCTCTAATTAATAAAAAAAAGAGAAATAAATTTATTGAAGTAAACTATCAAATTAGTTTTACTATTTCTAAAATTCATAAACACAGTTCTCAAACTAATTAAAAATGTTGTTTTAGACTCTAATATATAAAATTGTTAATTATTTTATTTTTTATAATTTTAAAAATTTATTAAAATAATTTACAATCTAAATAAAATATCATTTTAGTTTTCTAACACATACAATTCTTAGTCATTTTAGTTCTCAACATATACAATTAATCAATTATCTTAGTTTTTACCATTATTTAGACATTAGTTTTTTTAATGTACAAGTTGAATTAACACATCAAAGTGTTAGTTAATCATCTCACTAACATTTAATGGTAACATGATAGAGTGACACGCCTTAAAGTTTATTTTTTACTATTTGTTAATTTAGTTTCGAAATAATCTTTAAATTAAAAATTTTATGATAATTAAATTAACTGATTGAATATTTTTATCATCATTAAATGCTGTGTATCGTATTTACACGATACTTAATATTTTAAAGTCATTTTATTTGTTAGAAATATTAATATGTAAATGACAATTGAGACAAATAATTAACAAATGTATAGATTGAAGATTAAAATAATTGATGATGACCTGCATTAAAATTAAAATAATATTTTAATAAATTCTTGAAACTATATAATTGCATACATTGAAAGAATAAAATGGTATTTTTCTCAGTTTCTGAATTATTTTGATAAATTTTAAAAATAATAGAAATTAAATTACTCAAATTTATTATAAAAACAAAAAGTAATTAACTTCTCAAATTAATTCTTATGTTTAAGATTAATCAAAATAGTCCCTAAATTAAGTAAAACATTATTTAGTCTGATGTAATTATTAATATTTTATTCTCTACAATTTTGAGAACTTGTTAAATTGCTTATAATTTAAATAAAATGTCATTTTAGTATTAAAAATGCAACAATAAATTATTTTAGTTCTCAACATATATAATTATTAACTATTTATCTATAATATTGCTTAAATATTAATCATTTTAATAAATAAGATAAGTTGACATGTTATTTAATAATAATGTAAAAAATATTTCATTGGTTAATTTAATCTATATAAAATTTTAATTTTAAAAATTATTTAGAAACCAAATTAACATATTTTAAGAAAAATAAACTTCAAAGCATGTTATTCTATTATGTTATCATTATGCAAAATAATTAATTAACACTTAACTTGTTAAATCAGTTTATCTTGGAACAATTAAAAGTATGATAGAGAATAATATGATTGATTAATAATTGCATATATTATAGAATAAAATAATATTTAATTTAATTTAATGAACATTTTGATAGATTTCATATTTATTCTAAAAACAACATTTCTCCAGGTTCTCTTCCTATCCAAATACTGTTTCCTTTCATGGAAGCCAAAGAGCAGGGGAAGAAAAACTACAACCTTGACGTTGCAGAAAGCCCACCAAAATCTGCAGAATACGAAGCTGTGGTACGTGCAGGACCACATCTGAGACCTCTCCAACAAGCTCACGCTTATATTGTAGTCACAGGCTGTCACCGTAGCCGCGCTCTCCTCACCAAACTCCTCACTCTATCTTGCGCCGCCGGTTCCATCTCCTACACTCGCAGCCTCTTCCGCTCCGTTTCTCACCCCGATTCCTTCCTCTTCACTTCCCTCATCAATGCTTCCTCAAAATTCGGTTTCTCTCTCGATGCCATCATCTTCTACCGTCGCATGCTCCTCTCTCGCATTGCACCTTCCACTTACACCTTCACCTCTGTCATCAAAGCCTGTGCTCATCTTTCTGCTCTCCGACTCGGTACAATTATTCATTCCCACGTTTTGGCTTCTGGGCATGCCTCAGATTCCTTTGTCCAAGCTGCATTTGTTGCGTTCTACGCCAAATCAAGTGCGCTTGGTGTTGCCCGGAAGGTGTTCGATAAGATGCCTCAACCAAGTCTCGTTGCTTGGAACTCCATGATATCTGGTTAGAGTAATGCGCCAAATTACAGACACCTGAAATTTTATTCACACACACACACTCAAAAATCATATTTATTGTGTATTTAATTAATTAAGATTAGACAACTCTATTTTGATAATATTAAGAATTAAGTGTGTTTTTTATTTTATATATATTTGAAGAAATAATTACTTTTTTAATTTATCGGGAGAATTTTTAAAAAACAATTGATTATTTACCAAAATTAGGTTTTACCAAATAGTTACATTAGGTTTTACCAAGATTACAGACACCTGAAATTTTATTCACACACACACTCAAAAATCATATTTATTGTGTATTTAATTAATTAAGATTAAACAACTCTATTTTGATAATATTAAGAATTAAGTGTGCTTTTTATTTTATATATATTTGAAGAAATAATTACTTTTTTAATTTATCGGGAGAATTTTTAAAAAACAATTGATTATTTACCAAAATTAGGTTTTACCAAACAGTTACATTAGAGGATGGTAATTTGATAATTTTAAGGATTAAATTAAGTGGTATTCGTAGTTTGAAGAACTAACATGATATTTTAGCTGTTCAGGTTATGAACAGAACGGGCTTGCCAATGAAGCAGTGGGGTTGTTTAACAAGATGCGAGAATTGGGGATTGAACCTGATTCCGCAACTTTTGTTTGCGTGTTATCTGCTTGTTCTCAACTGGGATCGCTTGATCTGGGGTGTAGGGTGCATGACTATATCGTTAGCAGTGGAATTCGTGTGAATGTGGTTCTTGCTACCTCGTTGATAAACATGTTCTCGCGGTGTGGTGACGTTAGGAGAGCGCGTGCGGTTTTTGATTCAGTGAATGAGAGGAATGTTATTACGTGGACAGCTATGATATCTGGGTATGGTATGCATGGTCATGGTGTTCAAGCAATGGAGCTTTTCCATGGAATGAAAGCATGGGGGATAGTGCCTAATAATGTAACTTTTGTTGCTGTCTTATCTGCTTGTGCTCATGCAGGGCTAATAGACGAAGGGCGTTTTGTGTTTGCAAGCATGAAGCATGAGTTTGATCTTGTTCCAGGAGTGGAGCACCATGTTTGCATGGTTGATATGTTTGGGAGAGCTGGGTTGCTCAATGAAGCATACCAATTTGTTAAAGGACTTAGTCCTGAAGAACTTGTTCCAGCAATTTGGACTGCAATGCTTGGGGCTTGCAAGATGCATAAGAATTTTGATATTGGGGTGGAAGTTGCTGAGTATCTCATCTCTGAAGAGCCAGAGAATCCTGGCCATTATGTATTGCTTTCTAACATGTATGCATTAGCAGGAAAGATGGATAGAGTGGAATCTGTTAGAAACATAATGATCCAAAAAGGTCTTAAAAAGCAAGTAGGTTATAGCACAGTTGATTTCAACAATAAAACTTATCTTTTTAGCATGGGTGACAAGTCTCACCCTGAGACAAATGCAATTTATCATTATTTGGATGAATTGATGTGGAGGTGCAAGGAAGCAGGTTATGCCCCTGTTTCTGAATCGGCAATGCATGAGTTGGAAGAAGAAGAGAGGGAGTATGCTCTTAGATATCATAGTGAGAAGCTTGCAGTAGCATTTGGACTGATGAAAACTAGCCATGGAATGACTCTCAGGATTGTCAAGAACCTTAGGATATGTGAAGACTGTCATTCAGCGATTAAGTTCATTTCTATTGTGACAAATAGAGAGATAATCATTCGGGATAAACTTCGTTTCCATCATATTAGAGAAGGCTCTTGTTCTTGTTTAGATTATTGGTGATGAGAATTTAAACCCACGTGAATCTGATTAATTGGAGATTCTTTTGAGAACAAACTCTTGATGGAATGATAATGATTTCATATACAACCACCAAAATATATGTGAGGAATAATATAATATGGCATGCAAGACAAATTACGAGAATTTGGGTTGCTATTATCAAGTGAAATTCACCAGTATAATTGCGGCAAGCATTGATTATTCCCTAAGAAAAAAGTCAACGTCAAATCACATTTTATTAGCATACACTGTTTTATATAAATAGTATATTTATAAATAAATGTAAAAAGTTGCAAATGTTATTGTTCGTTATTCAATATACACAGTAATTTCAAGTGTTAGTAATATGAACATGCATAAAAATAAAAATGAGAAAGATTGTTAAGTGAGAACTAAAGTTGAAAGCAACTAGAACAATAAATGTGGAGAGCATCGAGGAAAAATATTATCATATTTTAAATTTATTTAAAACTTAGTAATTTATTTAAAAAGAAAATGGTATTTAGCATGAATAGTTTCCAATGGTAAATGATGAATTGAAAAGTTACTAATGAATCTTTGTATAACTCTACATTTAAAACAATTTACAATTACATTTAACTGAGTATTTAATTGGATTTATAGTTGATTCAAGGTTAATTGTATTAAAAAATTGACAAAATTAGTGATTTTATTCTCTAATTTAAAAGGTAAATTCAATTTCGTCATTTAACTTTATTTTAATTTAATTTGTTCTTCTAATTTATAAAAAAAAAAAAATTAAATAAGTCATCTCTATTAAAAAATGTTAATTTTATTAATATTTTTTGTTTTTTTTATCACGTGTTGTGCACTGTTTATTATTTTCTTTCTTAATTAATTTATATATTATTCATTTTGTTCCTCAAGATTTTAAATTTTTTCTCATCTTTTTTTCTTCTTCCTTTTTTTTCAATTCAAATACTTAATGTGTGTGCTTCAAAATAAAGTTAAAAATATTTTAATAGAAAAACCTTATTTAAATCTGTTTTTAAAAGTTAGAAAGCTAAAATCAATCAAAATAAAGTTAGAGAATAAAATTAAATTTATCATTTAAGTTAGAAGATAAAAATATTAATTTTACCTAAAAAATTCATGAAATCAAGTTGCTATTATCATTGTTGTTGTTGTTAATATTATTATTATTATTATTGAAGTTAAGGTTAACCTAAAATCAAATCAACTATATATTCTTACACCATTTCAAATTTGAATTAGGCTTAACTCAATCTCCAAAAACTAACTCAGAATTGCTGAAATTATAGGTTTTACTTTGATCATATCCACAAATATATTTCAAGTGAATAAATTAGAGGACTGCAGTAATACATGTTATTCTTAAATTCATTATCATAGTATTTTCCTCTCATATTTCTTTTGGTTTATATATTTATTCCACAAACAAATCATTCCAATCATTGTATTTCTTATTTCATATTTTACATCTACAAGCCACGATGTGATACATACACATGCCACGAGCACAAGTCTGTTATGTTGATTGATTGATCAACATATTACCAAACCACCAAAGTACAAAACCCACATATTAAATTGATATTAAACTGATACGTGTAAACATATGATATTAAACATAAGATTGGAATATCTTGGTCGGGAAATTTGACAGTTACTTACAACTTAGTAGCAAAAGGTTGTTTTTGAAGATCAACAAATTGACTGCAATCAATTCCCCTATCAGAAAAAGACTCTACAAGCTTGGGGAAGAGCTTAGCAAGCATAATTTTAAATCCTGTTGAAGTCCCCTTCCGGTTTTCATGTTCGGTTTTCGCACAACCAAAAGCACATCCAATTGAAGCCCCTTCAAGATATGCCTTGCAAGCAAGAAGTATATGTTGGGAGCGTTTTCTAAAGTGCTCTTCAACCAGTGCCTCAAAATGCTGCATCAGACATCATTGTCAGTCGCAATTCCATTCATATGATTACTTCAAGGACTAAGATGGACCCCTTTTTTGCACCATAATCTAGAAACAGGGCCATATATAGGATTCAAAGCCTAGAAACCACAGTTTAATCTAGAGTATATTAGTATAATAATTTTTCATGCCAAGAAGTATGAAAAATTGGAAATCATGGACAGAACAGCTAGATCTGATCCTCTCCAAATAGGGAAATAAATATATCTTTGACCAATTCACCAATTTATCTTCAAAATGAACCTACTCTTTCGCTGAGAAATTATTTATTTTTATTTAAATATGCACAATATCTGGGTTATGCTCTAGCAGTGTCTTATGCATTTGTGTGTTCTTGACACATTTTTGGCATGTTGTACTTATTATTTAAACCAATGGTCAACATACAACTAACCGGAGATGCCACTATGAATTATCGTCTATTCATATATAATCAAATACAGGAAAATCTATGTATAGAAGTAGTAATTTACCTTTGGAGGCTTTCTTATAAGATATAGCATCGATTTGGTTGTGACAAGGAAAGCATTTTCATTGTAACTGATGGAGTTTTTCTCTCCCTCAGCTCTACCAATTTGTTGGTCATATCCAGCCTCATTGAAATAAGGTTTCTCGTTAAGGACAAGGGCCTGAAGGGAGAGAAGGACTTGAAGAATAGTGGAGGCTCCAGGGTTCCACACTTCAGTGCCTGTGCCTGTCCAAGTGTTTAGGAGACTCAGACAGATTTTCCCTGACTCATATAAATTAGGATTTAATCGGAGTCCACCAGAATTGTAGTGCACCATCTGCATGGGATTTCAAAGGCCATGATTACAACATGAGATCTTTGAACATGAGCAGTTTCAATATAGACGATTTTCTACAAAATGCATGGGATTTAACTGAACTTCTCATTTCGATGAAGTGGAGAACCTTATAAACAAGGGTGATGATGCATGAATTATAAGTAAATAATTAACAAGCACTGAAAACTATGTTTAGAAAGCTTACAGGAGGTTCAGTGGGATACTCAGGAGGGAAGCATATATCAAAGAAAAACACCCCGTCATGATAAGGTGTTCCAGATGCACCAACAATAGCTGCTCGCATGAGATCCATTCTTTCTTCAAACACACGAACATATATAGTTTCTGTTTTGGTCAACAAGGATTGTTAGTGCATTTGCAGAAACTGCTATGAATATTTACAATGTACTTCTAACAGATTTCACGTTTCATAAGTAAATGAAGCAATCAACACATGGCATGACTCCAAATTACATTACAGGCTACTTATTTTTGGCTTGTTTCCAGGTTAAATTTTCAATGATCAGTAATGAATAATGATTACATGATAACGTTTTACTTCAATTAAATTTATGGACTCACTTTTACAAGATGAAATTTTGACAATGTTTCATTTTCTCTTTACAACTACCACCATTTTGGTTTCTACTTCACAGTAATTTACTCAAGCTAAGGATCCTGATCTTAAAATCAAAATTTTCTCTCAAATTTAACTTCCCTATTTGCCTTATGAAAAATTGTCCATTGGCAGTGTCTACGAATCAATAAGGTATAAACAGATACCATGTCATCTTGCCATAATGACTAAGGGAATTACAAAGGTTATCAATCTCGGTCCATAAAGTGGCAGAGATGCATTCTATAACAACACAGACTTCATTGTATGTAAACGTGTGGTTTAAAATAAATAAGATAAAGTATGCACCAGGAAGATTTTTTTCGAGGATGCTCCATTCTTGCTGAACCTTTTTCACCCAACCTTTTTTTACCTACAAAGGAGAAAAAATATTTAGCCTGATACATCACTGTAATATGGTATGCCACTTTTGAGTGATGATGAATTACTAACCTGTGATAATGACAACACTTTTCCCTCATCATGAAAATGGTGATCACAGCAATTTTCTATGATATCAAACTGCTTAAACTGGTTTGAATTGTTGTTGTCTAAAGAAAATGGAAAATCATTCTTCTCATGAATCTTAATAACTTCTGGATATGATGTTTTGTCTTCAGGAGACTGCAACTCAATCATTGGATCTTGTTCAGCATAGAGGTTACAAGTCTCCAAATCTTTCTTATCAAGAAAGTCTGATTCATTATCCTTTCCAAATGGAGATACTGAGGAAGCTGCTCCTGAAAGTGAATTTTCACCAAGTGTTTGGAATATGCTGGCTTTTATGCTGGAGAAAAGTTCAAAGGTAGCTCGAGGAAGGGAAAAAGAACTACACTCCCCAAGATAGTTTTCACAATTCTCTATATTTCTATCATCATTTAACAAGTCCTGATCATCAAATGTGACATATCAGTTTATAATTGGACAGCTGCATTTGGAAGCTCATGATCAGCAATTAATCTTTGAAAAGTATAATTTAGGATGATAATGCCAATAATTTCCACACTAAACATTTTTGACAAATTAAAATGAATGCAAAAGTTCCTTGAGTGTTTTCTTTTGCTCTATCAACTATCTGGCTTTTCAGTATAATTTCCAAGCCCAGACTTTTGGGTCTCAAATGTCCCAATTCGATAATCCATTCAACAAATGAAAGTAATACACAAGCATACACATTAATACACTTAGAATCACACAGAGATACAAAACATGAAAAAAAAGATATTCCCTAACCTTTCTCTTCTGGTCAGAAGGTAGGCTTCCATGTTCAATCATCTCTTGAGTTAACTCTTCAACATTTGTCTCATAAAAAGCGGGTGTAACAGTTGAACCTTCATGTTTATCAATCCGATAAATTTCATTAGGTGAAGCCTGTTGGGCAAAACAAAAAAAAGAAATTCATACGTTACCTCCAGTGAAGGAAAAGATATAAATTAATGTATACATTGCCACAGAATATGAGAAACAACTTTGGGAAAGCTATAAAATCAAAGGAATTATGGGAAAAGGTATTTCCATTTTAGGACTAATTAACCACTTGGATGGTTACTCAAGTCATTCAAGTGGCTACTCACAAACCATGACAACCATATTTTGAATATGAATGGGAGAGTTATCTATTATATTTGAAGCTATTAGAAAAATCATCCTAAACCAATCTTAACAACACTAACCAGCATGTCAAAATCAACCACTGTTTAAGCTCTGAAAGATCTTATATCTAGCAAACATGCACATAGTCACAGTGACACACATTTAAAAATAACACTACCATGTAAAAGGAGCATTGAGGATTAATAAGCTAATAGGATCAAACTGTTCATCAAGATACTGAGATTTGGGAAGCATAAATTTCATGAGTTCTCCAGCACCACATTCATCTATTAGCCTCGTAAACTACAGTATATTAAATACAGAAAATTATATATCATACCTTGGTAGTGAAACCAGTAGCCCATTTCACCTCCACATACCCATCATCGAAACCAGTAACATTGCCAATACAGTTCAGGAAATAATTATCAGGGAACTCATCCTGATAACTCATTTGGTTCCTGGTTTTGGGAGCAACCTCCATATTCAAGTTAGGCACTGACTTTTCCTTTTCTTTATCAGCTTGGTGACCAAGCTGTTTTTGAGCCGCCTTGAACATAATATCACCAAAAAAACAGGAGTAGTCTGGGTGCTCTACAAGTTCATAGGCACTCACAGTTTCCTCCATTTTGTCTTCATCCAAATTATCAGGGTCGGATATGGAAACAGTTTTCCATTCTACCTTTACGATACGCTCCTTTGCATCCACACATTGGACGACACCCCATCTTTGACTGCAAGGCTTAAGAGGATCATCAGAAGCACCTTTTTCCAGCACAAACTGGTGAGGCCAAAATTCATGATTGTTCATAACATTCACTGGGAGCAAATTCTCTGGATCCAATCCCAAAGTACATTCACCATTTTGCCACACAATATCAACTTTGGTCTTTATCTTCCCAATTATAAACAAGTCACCAATGTAAGAGTTAAGGTTACTTCTCTCATACCCTCTTGTCATACAATGCTCCATTGTAAGATCACTTTTAGGCATATGTTGAATAATCTGTTCCTTTTGGTCAGCAACTGAGAGCATGCACCAATCCCCAAGCTGCCAGTTTGCATGTGAAAAACATGATAATACATTCAAGTTCTTAGAATCTTGCCAGCATTGGGGAGCATTTGCATTCAAATTGCAACCCACAAGAACAGATGCAAGCCAGTTAACATACACCAAGCCTGCTTCCACATCACAAACAGTTCCTTCATCTTGATTGTCACTCCAAGTGCCACATAGCCATCTAGCTGATTTAGAAGCATTGGACATAACCTTTACTCTCTGCCCTGGATAGTATGGATACTGCGAATCTTCAGGAAAATTACGAGTCAGTGATAAAATCTTCTCTTTTTCCAAGGCAATGATATCACATTTAGCTCCATCATCAAACAATACAGTGACTTTGTCCACCACCCTTTGAATCCGACCAAACCATGGCCCCTTAATTACATAATCACCTTCTGAAATGGAGCGAATCTTCAAAAGCTTCTTGGAGTTCACATTTTTAAATACTTTTTTTCCTTTAACACTTTCCAAATCCACAAACACATCAACATTTATGACCCTACCCATTTGTCCAGATGGGTCTGACAAAGAGCACACCACATCCCCAAGAACAAATGCTCTTTCAAATGAAAGAAAGTCATCAATCTTTCCAATGCTTTCCTCTAAACTTGATAGAATGCTCTGAGCTTTCCCACCATACAGAAAATCAATTTCCTCTTGATCCTCGCTGCTGCTGCTGTCACTGGAAGTCTCCCAGTCCGAATCACTAGTGATAGGATCCATCAATTATGTACCTGTCATAATATATGATTATAACATCAATTAAACTGCTGAAGTACAATAAAATGACATGATAACATAGCAATAGGAAAAAAAAGAGCTTTTAGTTCATGTATGGGAATTCTCACCAGATTCTAAAATAGATGGAATCAGAATTATTCTTCACCAAGTGCTAAGTGGTATGTTGAGGAGAAAGGACACAAACTGTTAATGCGGAGGTAGATTTAACGCTGTAAAATTTTTCCTTTGAATGAGACCTATGTTTGAAAGATAAATAAATTAGTAATCTATCTTGAAATGTTGCTTTGGATACTTTAAAATTGTAGATAAACTTTTAACATATCCATAAATGAACATTAACAACAAACAGGGATTCAAAAATTTCTTTACCTCCTCAAGCAAATTAACCCAGAGTGTATGTATTGTGATCACAATAGATATGATGATATTGCCTTCAATCAGTTCAATGGATAATTGTGTGTAATACAAAATATCTCTGATTGATACTACTTTCTGTCACAGATAGTCAGAATCTCCAAAAGATTATATTGATCACTGAAATTGGAGATCTGATGCCAAAGGAGATTTGCCCGATTGAGTAATAGGAATCAATCAAGGACCCCAAAATGCCAAAAGAGATATCCCAATTTGGAACAGAATGTCAAAGAAACTCTTGATTTTTTTGGTTGGTTTACCGGATGGATAATTTCTAGTTATTTGAGGAAGCAGACCACGACAATCAAAAGATGCCAAAGGAGATTTGCCCTACTGAAAGGGTTGAGTTCCAACAGAAAGTACTTCTGAATGGTAATACTTTTGCAGAAGGCAAAAGTTGTATTTCATATATTTTTACAAACTGGAATCCAACCAAAGGAAATTAAGTAACTTTTGCCAAAGGAGATTTGCTCAGTACAGCTGAATCTTCAAACATAAATAATTGCAAAAGGGAGAGAAAATTTCCTCTTCCAAGATTGAGGTTACACTGCCAAAGGAGATTTGCTTCCACAACAAGGCCTAACACTATTTATCAGGTCTATCTGGTATCAGGAAAGCTTGGTCAATATCCCGAACCAATAAAATTCCAGAGTTGCAATCCGGAATGGTTTAGCCACTCAACAGAAATATTTTCTGCTTCTTGATTCACAGCAAGAGGGAGAATTTCAAACACAATTGCCATTGGCGAAAGGGCTTCTGTTACCAGATTATTTCTTTTGAACCTGCAACAAAATGACTACTGAGTGATTCTTCCAAACCTTTTCCATGAAAAGAAAATGGAAATAACAAAAGAATGATATTGCAGATAACTAAGCTGACTACTTTATAGTGTAGTGTAGCATCATAGTTCACGGGGTAAGAGAATTTCTTTCAATAAATAAATGTTTAATTATACATCAAAGAAATAGAATTTAAAGGAGTGGCTGAGTTTTGACAAACAAAACGAAAAGTTATAAAAGTGTAGAATTAATATTTTCTCTAAATTCCCTACATTTCGATAGGTTAGAAAATAATAAAATAAGACACATGCACATTATTTATTTACGGGAAATGTTAACCTCAACTCTGAGAACTGATAATAGTAAAATTTTACTAAAAAAAAGTATTTATCACACTTTTATAGTAATAAATGTGTTCCTTCTTAATAAAAACTTACTACTGGTGGATTCTTAAACTTAAGCCTAAGGATTAAAGTTAACAACACCCTTTATTTATACATACAAAATCCAATCTAGCATCCTACTTCGTATGGAAACCATTGTCCACAAATCACGGGGATCTTGCACTTCAAATTTCAAGAAAAAGAAAATCCCACCGTCTCAAGTTGGTCATTTGAAAAAGATAGAGGTAAAAAAAAGGTGATATAGCATATCTTTTCATTACAAAATCACAATGATATAGTAGAATCCATTAAACAAACTACAATTTGTTATTGGCAAATTAACCACAGCTTTATTGCTTTAATTGGAATAATAATCCCAAAGTTTTATTGATCCTTGGAATTCACTTGAAATCTCTTCTAACATAATCATGTTGTATGGAAATCAACTTTCTCGAATCCAGCACAATCAAACACATAATCTAGCATTAGATTGAGTATACACAAAGAAAGTTGCAATCTTCAACACATAACTAAATCTAAGATAAGAGTTAAAAGAAAACGGGTTAAATTTGCAGAGCAAGGAAGTACCATTAGCACCTTTGAGATGATAGGAGCCATATAAGCTATAAAAGGCATAGAAGCAAGAAACATCCATGACTCTAACCACCAAATGAAGGAACTCCATCCACAGGAACATAACAAATTGAAAGTAGCTACTTCTGAAATTTTGCTTTAAGCTTCAAAAAACTAGCTTGCTCTCTTTTCCTAGCTAAGAAATTTTCAGGCTTATTAGAAATAGGAAAAGGTGGGTATTGTTCAAATAGGCTTAGTTCCACGGCCAGTTCCACCATCCTCCACATCACCACAAAGCTTTGGACCCATTGCAGGGAAACACTGTTTCTCTCTGAAATGCTAAGGCTTTGGTGAAGGAGGGAACTAGTGTTAGTGTAACGAATAAAGCCTTTTTCTTACATATAAATAGTGTTACTATTTGAACCAACTGAAACGAATATACCAGATACTAGAGACACAAAATACTACTTCGAGACAGTTTGTGTTTAATTACTTGTTTGCCCTCACTGTATGTGACACAGAAGTCAAACACTTTGAAACTGGTCTGAAGCCACTAAGTAACTATAATTGACTTAATGAAAGGTTTGATGTCACTATGTCACAATTAACTCTGTTGGTTTGCTGTGTGTGTTTTTCTGTTTTTCTTCTAGGGTAAAATTGGTAGCTAGGAAATTTTTTAGGGTCGACCGTTGTCATTTTATTAAGGGATAAAAGGTTGATTATGATGAAATTATTTTGGTTATTATTATTATTATTATTATTATTATTGTGTTAAAAAAAAAATTTATACTGCATGATACAATAAATTGTACTGGGAAAACTCGTTTTCTTTCCAATAGCAAAAAATTAAGAGTATATAAAAATAACCCTTTTCTATATATGAAAACTAATTTAGTTTTTATCATTACATTTATCTAAATGTATTTGATATTAATTGATCTTTTGTTACGTAAATCCATGCACAATCTAATAGTTGTATATGTTTATTATGTTGCCTATTATCCATATAACATAGTCTAATTTTTTACATGTACCCCCCTACTAAATCTTCCAACTTATTATATTCATATTTCGTTAACTTACTTTTTAAACTGAGAATTTTATTTTTATTTTAGTTATTAAGAATTAATTGAAGAATGACATATTTTGGCAATAGTTGACAATAATCAGTTACATAGTATGTTTAGATCCGTAGTAAAAAAATTGAAAATTAATAATGTGTTAAATTTATTTTCAAGAAACTTATTTTTTAACAAATTAATTTTCATATATGTTACGCATAAGGAATTTAAAGACAAAGTGGTCTTGCATTTTCTTTTTGCGTTTCTCATAATATCATTCCATGCATGTAGTAGGTAGAAAAAAATCTCCTCAATCAGGTGCTAAATAGTATGTTTTCTATACATGAATCTTGGATTCAATCAAAAGGCCACGTGCTTTAGATATCTAAAGCCTTTCACTTTTTTGTTTTGATTATATGAAAAGAGTAGGACCGTCGAGCAAATTTTAAAAGAACAAAACACAACTCAAAAACAAATTGAATCCTCAATATTGTTATGGCTTTTTCAATCCTAGCACCGTTTCATGTAATAAAAATTTATATATAGTGATTTTTTATTAAAAAAATATATTTAATGTATTAATATTACTAAATGTTATCATTTTTAATAAAAAAAAAACTTATTTTTTATTACATGTAATTTGTACAAATTAAAAAAATGATATTACTAATCTACTTAAAATTTAATCCAAAAGACAAAAAGAAATGAAACATCTCATGCTTTACTTTTTCTCAATTTGAAGCGTTAAATAACTTACATTGTCTTTACTTTCTGTTGATTAAAGTTCACTATCCTAATAAAAACCAAATGTTAATCTAAATTCCCCAAAAGTAAAACGTACCATAAAATGGAGTTGTACAAGCTAGCATTTATCCTTTCGTTTCCTTGTGTTGAAACGGTGTTAACAACACTTCAGAAAGTAATTTAAGTATGTGAAGCCACTAACATATATCGTCATAATACAGCCATTAATCAATCTTTTATATGCTTTAGTGATAAAAGCACTAAATTTGCCAATCGTATATAGCAATTTCTAGCCATTAAGCAAGGATATCTCAAGTTTATTCTCCTGCATATTCTTATCAACATATGTTGCTTTTCTAGCTAAAACAAAGAATATCCTTGATGCTCATAATTGAGTGGAATGATTTTACATAAAAATGTAGCATTAGCATGATCGATCGACAAAGGGACAATTTGTTAAGAATGTTTGCAGAGACAAGTAAGTGATTCTATCTTTCTTTTTCCTATTAATAGACAGAATATGCTACATCAACATTGTCCTTGACAGTTAACAAACAAATAGGAATTAGGAACCAATGAGTTTGGTTGTGTAGTATATATGAATTAACTGAACCACAAAATAAAGTAGAAGAATTGATTTTCCTAGTTGCCAATATTTAAAGAATGTGACTTAAGCACTAAGACACAGTCTAGTTGGAAAAGTAGAACATTCCACTAATTGAAAATGACCAACTCCTAACAACTTTTCTGAGTTTCTCTCTTCCTGTAAGCACATGGAATTTTAAACCTTCTCTTTTTTCTTTTTTGTTCATTGGATTCCAGATTGACAGTGCTTTTTGTACTTTGATTATGTATGTGCCCAATATTTGATTCCAAATTCAATGACCCTTGATGATTGCTAGGCTACCAGTTATGAAGAGATATGAGGGTTCTTCTATGGAAAGCTTTGAACTAATGATTTTTTTAGCACAACCCACTTGTTTATGCACAACTTTTTTGGTTAAATTAATTTCTACCGCATACTGCTTTACTTCTGTTGTTGAACAACAAAGGTAGTAAAATTACTTACTGCTTGATCCAGTTGAATACTGTGGGTTTATTGTCAATGATAAATGCACCACAGGAAGTTATTGTTTCTATTCATCTTTCAAAAGCCTCAATATGAGCATTACAAAGAAACAACAATAATCCGTGGTGTGTAAGAGGTTATCAAAGTGTATGCAAGAAGATTTTGAAGACTTAAGCACAGTTATTATTGGTGTTGTTTTTTCAATAAAATTGAAATTTTATTTCAGTAGTTTATGTAATCTTAAATGTTAATATTTGTTGGAATAAAATTTTTAGTTTTATTTAAATAATAGTAGTCAACAAGAAGGTTTTCATATAAATGATGGTGGGGTATCTCTCAGGTGGTAACTACCATTGATTCGAAAAAAAATTGCTCGTTCAAACACCAATATGCCCTAGTGAAGGTAAAAAAAATAACCAAAAAATCTCTTGAAGATTTTAGAAAAATAAATGGAGAAATAGAATTTTTTTATTTTAATTAAAAATATTTTAATTTAACAGTTTTTAAAATATCATTTTAATGTATTGGTTTTTTATTATCATGAGTGATATATCACTTTTTAATTTAAAAATAAAATTTGTGTCCTCTTTGTTTTTTCTTCAAATTCTCCTCTTAAACAGTCCTGAGAGGTACGAACTCGAATATTCACATATTCTGTATCAAATTATTTTGGGTGCAAGCAATATAATTCACATATATAGTATGGTATCAATATGCAACATGGTGAGATATGGATCTTCATAAATTAATCCAATTTTGCAAACCCCAGAACTTAAATAGAAAAATTAAAAATCAAACAAATTTAAAATTAAAGAAAATATTTTTTTATTATTCAAGCATATTTTGAATTCAATTTTAAAAATCAATTCAATCATTTGTGTGTCATATATATTTTTATAAATTAACTTAATATTCAATTATTCATAATTATATATTTATGAACTTATATTGCGTGCTTATAACAGTTTTTATATTTTTATTTTTAAAATTACATCTTTTCTTTATGAAGGATACGTTATATTATTTCAACATATATATATATATATATAAAAGTTTATTAATTTAAATTATTATTATGTCCTTTTTTTATTATATGTAAATCATTTGTTTTATATAAAAATAAGATTCAAATTAAAAAAAGGCAAAGAAGAGATAATAAAATGTTGTCTTCTACTTAAATAAAAATAAAATTATAAAAATTCAATAATTTAATAAAAATAACTTTTAATTAAATAGAATTGGACTAAATTTACTATTATATTTAAATCAATATAAATTAAACGGTAATATATATATGATAAATTAAATATTTTTACTTAAAAAGTTATCAATATTAAATTATAAATATCCCTATGGTAAGAGCTCCTAATTGGGAGGCCTTGAGCCACCTGTACACCATACAATTATAATTATATATTTTTGAAATGTTGTTTACGTGTCAGTGTTATTTGTGTTTGGTCGACATTCATGGAAAACGATATTAACCGATGAAGGTGGACATGGAATTATTCTACATCTCAAATGCATAATCACATGTCACAAAGGTGCTTGCACACGTTTTATAAAATGATAATATTTTAGAATCATTTATAAGTAATTTATTAAATTGTTTATAATATAAAAGATTTTTTTCAGTAGTATAAGTTTAAATTATTAAATATAAATTAAACAAAAGTCTTAAATTAAGAGTAAAATTTTTTAAATTATATTAGTGTGAGAAGATTCTGTCTTAATAATATAAATTTTATACTAAATAAAAAATAAATTTAATTATATATTCAAGAAGGAAAACATCACCTAAAATTAAAGTGCCTCAGAAATCATGCTTATCCTAAAATGAAGAGTAGTGTAATTAATTCCATTTTTGTTTTTGCTGGCAAAAATTTTAATTTATGTATAAGCATTTTCAGCGCTGAAAATTCAAGGTTGAGAACAAATCCATGGTCTATGTCAACAGCAGCAAAAGCTGCACCTCTATAAGATTAAATGGAGGAACTCATGTTAAAAACATGATACTCTAATGTAGTAATGATTGAGCATTAAGAACATCTACGATCAAGTTCTGGTGTCAAATTTTGAGATATCACAAGTCCCATGAGAGAATAAGATGATATTCATTAAACATATTCTCTTTAATACATTACTTATTGGCTAATATTTTTATCATTATCATATTTTCATTTTGACCTCAAATCTAGGTTGCTAGTTAGTGCATCCACTGTGACTTGCAATTTTAAAATGGAAATACAAAATATTTAGAAATGGAAAGGTAGAGGAAATCCACTGGTTAGCAAATTCTTTGACTCCTTGTTCATTGCAAATTAAAGGGTTGTCATTGGCCATCCACTATTAGTGAAAAAAAATCATTTCAAAACTGAAATTTAGAGCTAACAGCATCATACATTACAAAAAATTATTTTTTATTAAAAAATTGATACTATAAAATCTTATCAAATATTTTTTATAACAAAAATTGAATCATTCATGTAATATTCAATTATT